GCACTCGATTCGCTGTTTATTAAAACCTCGATTAATCTTGTATTAATGCTCTTCAAATGCGACTTTTGTGGAGGTGCAGCAGCCCCTGAGACGAGGAGCGGAGCGGAGCTTCTCCCCAGCCCTGTGCCACTGCTGTCAGTGAGGAATTAACTCGGGATGTCTCCGGGCTCGGAGCTGAGGGGCTGGGAGGATGCAGAGGGCAATGATCAGGATGCCTGTGAGGATGCTACAATTAATGGGGTATATATATAATATTATATATATATATATATATACCCCATTATATATATAATATATATATAATGGGGTATATATATAATATTTTTATATATATATATACACCCCATTATATATATTATATATATATAATGGGGTAACCAGCCCAGAGACACCCCTGACTCTGCTGCCCCCAAATCTGGGGGAGCAGGGTCCCTGATCTGGGAGCCCACTGTGTCCCCCCCCAGAGAATACAGGAAGGTGTGGGGGCAGCCTGGGGGAATGGATGCTCTGCTCGCCAGGACCCCACAAATCCAGAGCAGGTGGAAAGGTTTGGAATGGGAAGATCCCCATTTGAAAAGCAGAAATGCCTCCTGCCCCTGCCCTGGCAGCCGTGCGGCTCTGGGAGGGCTGTGCAGGAAGGAGGAGCGTGCCCCAGCTCTCAGAGCCGGCAGGAATCGCACCTCGTGCTCCTCCGTGGGTTTGGGCTCTGCCTGTGCCAGAGGCCGATGGGATGGAGGAGATTTCCCATCCCTGCCAAGCCGGGATGCTGCAGTTGTCATGGCAACGTGGGATCCTGCGAGCTGGAGCCCGCAGCCCACCCCTTTGGGGGGCGTTCAGGCTGAGCCCCGGCACCTCCCTGCACCCCAAAACTGCCATCAACCCCTCCTCCCAAAGCTGACACCCCCACCATCCTTCAGCCAAAAGACCCCGCTGCAAACACCGCCTGTTCCGTGGGGAAAACACCTTTGGGTGGCAAAACGCGCCCGGAGGCGCCGCGGGGAGCGCAGGGCCGGGCGGGCGATGCCGGCGGAGATTCCCGCGGCATTTTCCTGCTTCCCTGTGCCCCGGGCCGGGATTCCCGGCGGGTTGGGGCTGCAGCAAGGGCAGCCAGCACCCGGCAGCAGCCAGCCATCCTGCGGGATGCTCCCGGAGCTCTCCCAGCGCTGGGAGCCACCCTGGGATGGGGCTGGAGCTGCAGCCACTCCTCTCCCTCCTCCCAAAGGTGGCTGGGTTGTCACACAAGGTCACCTCTCCCTCCCAGCCTGCTGAGCCCCGCCAGGCGGCACAGGCGGCGTTTTCCCCACCTCGGGACAGGTTTTGCTGTGTGTCTCCAGCAGCTCATTCTCGCTGCCAGGCCTTGATTGACACCTGTCCATCATCCCCGGCAGCCAAAACCGCAGCCAGCAGCGGGTCCCCGCGGGAAGGACAGGCAGGAACGGGCCCGAGCTGAGTCCCTCTGTGGGCAGGCTGCTGCCAGAGCATCGGGATGCCCCGTGCCAGCCCCGTCCTGCCGCATTCCCCATCCCCGCCCGGTTCCGCCGGGGCACCGGGTGGCACATGAGTCACGCTTCCTCCCCACGCCCGTTCCAGCGCGGGGCCGCCGCTATTTTTGGAAGTTTTTGCAAGCGGATCAGCCCCGAGAAGAGCAGTTCGTGGCTGCTCCCCACGCCGGGCGCATCCCCCGTGTCCCCGAGCCGGGCTGGGGATGCCCCACAGCGCGGACCCCGCTCGGGGTGCGTGGGAACTCCCTCCTCATCCCACGGCCCCTCCTGAGTCAGCGGCGAGCTGCAGCTCCATCCTAGCGGCGAAATATTACCTTTTAAAGGGCTTGTTTGCGATTGGGGTGGGACTTCGTGCGGTGCCAGCTTGGCGTTGATCCTTGTGCTCCCAACGAGCACATCCCCGGTTATTTTTACTCCCAACCCCCAATGTTTTAGCTGGGGCTGCAGTGCCTCACAAAGTGGCTGTGAGGGAAACCGGGCATTATCCAGCTCCGGAACCGAGGGGTGGATGAAATCCGAGTGTCACAGCCGGGCCTTCCTGGCCTTCCCAGCTGGAAAGGATCTGCTTTTACAGGATGCTGCACCCACACCCACACCATTCCACACCTGCCACCCCATCCCCTTCCCTCCTCTGCTCCAGGACCTGCCCAAATCGAGGATTATTTTCCTTGCAGAGCAGCGATTGTGTTGCTCATCCTCGGCCCGGGCAGTGCCCAGGGTCAGCGGCCGTGCCCCCGGAATGTCCCGGGAATGTCCCGGGAATGTCTCCGGAATGTCCGCGGAATGTCCCCGGAATGTCCCGGGAATGTCCCCGGGAATGTCCCCGGAATGTCCCCGGAATGTCCGGCCGCCTTCCCGGCCACACTGGGAGCAAACCCGGAGTGGGGCCGGGGAGGTTGCAAAGGTGACATCTTTGCCGTGCTTGGCAAACTTCAGCTCTGCTTTTTTGTGGCTGAAGCTTTTGCCTGGAGACAAAGCAGCACCCCGACCTTGCCGGGATAAAATTAGCCCGGTTCCACTTTGGATTAAAGGAGCTCCGCTGGAGCTCCGCTTCGGCTCCGAGAGTCAAATGGCAGCGAGCCCTTTTTGTCTGGGGAGGGGAGCGCCTGGTGACAATGACATTGATTTCCCAGACCTCTCGGCGTGGCCAAATCTGTATTTTTAGCCGGGGAAGAGAAAAATAAGAATGACGTGTCCGAGCAAAACGCTTTCCGTGCCCTGGAGGGAGGGAAGGAGGCGGGAGCTGGAGCGGGGCACGGGCAGGACTCGGTGCCCGGTGCCCGGAGCGGGGCGGGGGATGCACCGAGGAGCCGCTGCTGCTGTGCCCGGGCTCCGTCCCGCACTGCCCCGCACAGCTCCGGGCTCCTGCAGGATCCCAAAGCATCCCGCGCATCCCTCCGCATCCCTCCCGCATCCCTCCGCATCCCCTGGGCCCTTCATCTTCCGGGGCAGCCGCTGCCTCCATCTCTGCTTCCCTGCACCGCCCCCTCCTCCGCGCTCTCCCCCACCCCGTTCTCATTTCCCCAAGAAGACTTTAATGAAATCTGCCCTTAATTAAATCCACATTCATTTGCATAATTACCAGGAAATTGAAATTAGCCTGCGGACGTGGTTGGAATATATTTGGCATCAGGCAGCCCTGGCTGTTTGGAGGGGGCTGCACCGAGGGTCGCTGGGTGCCCCCCACCCATAGGTGCCCCCCACCCAAAGGTGCCCCTCGTCCATAGGTGCCCCACGGTGCTGCTCCCCACATCCCGGTGACAGGGTGACAGTGGAGGGACAGCCACTGCTGAGGCCACAGCAGGGCAGAGGCCGTGCCCTCCACCCCTGCACAAGCAGCATCACGTTTCCTTTAGTTAATGAAAAAAAAAGTCTTCACCGCCATTGAGAAATTTTTTGTTGCTTTTATAACTATGTATTTTTGTCATTTTTTATGGTTTCAGTTGTGGTTTTTTTAAATCCTTTTCAACAGTGACAAACTGAGGTAACGTCTGTGACACTACAGCCTCTCCTATGGGAAGAAGGTCTGAAACCCGACAGCTGAGGGAACTGGAAATAAAAACCTGACAACCTACGGACACAGCGACCTCGACGGGGACAGAAATCACACCGGGCACCCCCTGGGACACACCCGGGCGGTGCCACCGAGCCCTCCCGGGGTGGCCAGGATCCCTTATCTACATTATTGCACGAAAGATCGAGGACATCGAGGGACCTAAGGCAAAGAGGAGTAAAACCGGTGCCTAGCTCTCTACGTGGGGCAATGCTACGTCTAACGCCGGGCCCGGGGGTGCCAGGGATGGGGCACGGCGGGGGCGGGGGGGCCCCTGCTCTGTAAACTGCTGCTGCTGCTGCTGGAAAGCGTTATAGCCCTTTGTGGGGAATTGGGGCACCGGGGCTGCCCCACGGCACCCGCCCCATGGGAGGGAAGCCCGAACCACAGCAGGGTGCTGCTGCCTTGGGGTGCCCCCACAGCTTCCCCGCCACGGCGGTGGGGTGAGCTCCCTGCTCTGCTGGGTGCCCAAATCCAGGAGGGAAGGTGTGACCTCCACGCACACCCCGGGACTTTGTCACTGAGGGGCCACCAGTGGCTGCTGCCACCACGCCCTGCCTCGCCGCAGCCAGCCCCGGCAGGGTCTGTCCCGCTGCCGCTTCCCCGCCAGCCCCAGGGGAGGGGGACAGGTTTGGGGAAGGGGTGACAGCAAGGAGAGGCGATGGGGACAGCACAGAGAAGCAGGCGGGCCCACGGAGGCCACTCGGAGCTGCCTCCGCTGCTCCCGGGCTGTGCAGGCCGGCCTGGGGTGCACCGCTGCCACCTCCCCCAGTCCCTGGGTACAAAGAGGGGACAGCAGAGCCGGCCCGGCCCGAGCATCCGACCCGCTGGACGGGCAGCACCGCGCCCAGAGTGACTCTGGCCAGAGGGAACCGTCCCTCCGGCAGGGCCTGAGCCCTGTGGGGCAGGGCAGGGGGACAGGGGCTGCCAGGGGCAGTGCTGGGACACACAATGACACACAGACAGGGACACTTGCTACATCAATGGCTGCCAGCACCTCCCACGGCAGGGAGGCAGCCGGGGCTGCCGGGGGTCCGGGGCTGCTGGCAACCCCCCGGCTCCCCGTCACCCACCTCCCCATCCCCTCCCAGACCCCAGCAGTGCGGCAGGGACCAGTGGAAGAGGACAAATCATCACCCACCCAAACCTCCCCAAAGGCCTCCTCCACGGTGCAGGGTCATCGGCCTTCCTGTTCCCCGGACGGGGTCGAGCACGGGGTGGGGCAGAGCCGGTGGGCTGCCCGCTGCCCGCTGCCCCCGACTCTTCCTCCCCGTGCCCCCCGGGGGAGCCTTGGAGGGGGCAGCACAGCCGTGGCAGGGCTGTGGGTGCCCCCGGCCTCCCCAGCAGTGAGCGGGGCGGGGGGATCGGCATCCTCGGCGCTACAGAGCGCAACCAGTTCTGTCCTTTTCCTCTTCCATTGGGTTTCTTTTCCTTTTCTCTTCTCCTTTGGGAAACCCAGAGCCCGGTCCCGGCTCGTGCCACCACCACCACCACGCTGGACTGCCCCCATCCCTGTCCCCGGGGCGGGGGGACGGGGCGGTGGCACACCCGCTGTCACACGCAGATCTCTATTGCTGTGGCCAGGACCATCTGCCCCTTGCCCTTGTCCTGCCGTCCGTCTGTCCTGCTCGCCGTGCCCGGGGCGGCCGCGCCGGGCTCGGGGCCGCGCGCTCCGCTCCCCTCCGTCAGGACGGTCCTCTTGAGCGGGGCGGGGGTGCAGGAGCCGGCGGCCTCGTGGCAGTGGGGCCCGGCCGGGAGCTTGTCCCTGGCGTGCTTGCGGGAGCGGTAGGAGGGCCGGCACCGCACCTCGGCCATGAGGTCGCACTTGATGAAGTAGAAAACCTCCTTGACGGGGCAGCGCTTCTCGGGGTCGAGGGCCAGCAGGCGCTGGAACATGCGCAGGGCGCTGTCCGTGAAACGCCGCCACTGCGAGGGCAGCCCCGCCAGCCGCCCCTTCTGCCACCGCACAAACTCCTCGAAGAAGGCGTCGGACGCCACCGCCGCCTCCCAGGGGAAGTTGCCGGTGAGCACGCAGAAGATGAGCACCCCGAAAGCCCAGACGTCGATGCTGGTGTCCACGGCGAAGCCCTCGGCCCGGCCGGCCTGGCACACCTCGGGCGCCGTGTAGGGGATGGTGCCGCTGATGCGCTTGACCCGGCAGCCCACCTTGCGGGTCATGCCGAAGTCGGCCAGTTTGACGCGGCGGCAGTCGCGGTCGAAGAGCAGCACGTTCTCGGGTTTGATGTCCCGGTGCACCAGGCTCTTGCTGTGCATGTAGTCGAGGGCCAGGCCCAGCTGCTGCACGCAGCGCTTCACCAGCTCCTCGGGGAGCCCCACCTGTGGGGGGACACGGCGTCAGCCACGCGCCACCCAGCCCTGGGGACCCACCCAGCCCGGGCAGCCGCATCTCCACAGCCTGGTGCTCGTGGGTGCTTTTGTCTGGGTGCTCTGAGGCACTGGGCCACTCAGGAGATGGGTGGTGGGTCTCAGGCCCCCCATAGGATGGTTTGGGTTGGAAGGGACCTTAAGGATCGTCCAGTTCCAACCCCTGCCCTTGGCAGGGACACCTTCCGCTAGCTCAGGTTGCTCCAAGCCCCATCCAACCCAGCCCCGGACACTTCCAGGGATGGGGCAGCCACAAGTTCCCCAGGAGAAGGGTGACGGGTCTCAGACCATCCTAGGGACAGGTGATGGATCTTAGGCCACCCAGAGGATGGGTGATGGGTCCCACACTTGTTTGTGGGTGCTTGAGGTCAAGCCCAGCCCAGATGGGGGTGCCCAGTCCCTGCACCTGCAGCCCCTCCCCCGTGGGCACACAGCACAGGGGCAGCTTTGCTCAGCACCCCCTGAGCCCCCACGTCCCACGGGAGGTGCCGGGGGTCCCACCTGAGGCGGGATGATGTCGAAGAGGTCCCCACCGGGGGCGTACTCCTGAGCGAAGACGTAGCAGTCCTCGGTCTCGAAGACCACGTCGAAGACCTTGATGATGAAGGGGCTGGAGGAGAGCGTGTTGGTGATGCTGAATTCCCTCAGGAAGTTCTTCAGCTTCGTCTTACTCTTGTTGACAAACTTCAGGGCCATCTTGGTGCCTGCGGAGGGCAGGGGACAGGAGTGAGCCCTCGGCCAGGACAGACCTGCTGGACGCTCCCAGCACGTCCCCGCTGCCCTCACCTGTGCTTTTGTGGGACACCAGGTCCACCTTGCCGTAGGTGCCCTTGCCGAGCTCACGGATGAGGTCATAGTGCTTGGTGATGTCGGTGCCCGAGAGGGTGCGGATGGCCAGGGACTGCATGTCCTCGGTGATCAGGGGCACCCCGCAGCAGCCCAGCTTGCGCGACGGCTCCTGCTCAATCGAGCCCGCGCTCATGGTTGCGCTGCAAGGGAGAGGTGGCACTGCTTCCGTGGGGGCTGCAGGGCCATTGTACCCCATCCCATCCCATCCCATCCCACCCCACCCCACCCCACCCCATCCCATCCCATCCCATCCCATCCCATCCCATCCCATCCCATCCCATCCCATCCCATCCCATCCCATCCCATCCCATCCCATCCCATCCCATCCCATCCCATCCCATCCCACCCCATCCCACCCCATCCCATCCCATCCCATCCCATCCCATCCCATCCCATCCCATCCCATCCCATCCCATCCCATCCCATCCCGCCCCGTCCTGCCAGGGTGGTGCTGAGCAGCCCCCACTGAGTGCCACCCCTCTGTCCCCAGGGGCCACCAAGCCAGTGGCTCTGGAGGGATGCTCCAGCCTCCACAGGGGCTGTGGCTGGGTGGATATTTGGGGGCAAAGGGAGGGGTCCAGACATGGCAGAGACAGGGACAAGGACACACATGGATACAAACAGGGACACACATGAATGCATTTTCTCGGGCCTGGTGTGCTCCCAGCCACTCTGCAGGAGAGCAGCTAAGGCTCTTTGGGGTCCCCTCTGCTGCTGTGTCCCCAGTGGGGACCCCAAGAGCCACTCCAGTACTGAGCCCCCTCCACAGCTGAGTCTCAGCCCGGGCAGGAAGCTCCAGAGCGGAGCCAGGGCCATGCCTTGGCACCAAGGGGGACACAATGGCTCTGCAGCACATCCCTCCCTCACATCTGTGACCATTCTCCAAGCCCCATCCAGCCTGGCCTTGGGCACTGCCAGGGATCCAGGGGCAGCCACAGCTGCTCTGGGCACCCTGTGCCAGGGCTGCCCACCCTGCCAGGGAACAATTCCTTCCCAATATCCCATCCAGCCCTGCCCTCTGGCAGTGGGAGCCGTTCCCCTTGTACTCTCATTCCAGGCCCTTGTCCCAAATCCCTCTGCAGCTCTTCTGAAGCCCCTTGAGGCACTGAAATTGGCTTTAAGATCTCCCCAGAGTCCTCTTCTCCAGGCTGAAAAATCCAAATTCTCTCAGCTTTTTGTCATAACGGAGGTGTTCCATCCCAATAATCATCACTGTGGCCTCCTCTGGACTCGCTCCAACATATCCATGTCTTTCCTGTGCTGGGGACCAACAGCTGGATGCAGCATTCCTGGTGGGATCTCACCAAAGCAGAGCAGAGGCCGGCCCAGCCAGCAGCACATGGACAACAGCACCAACATTCCTCACTTCCAATGAACCAGGAATGGTTTTCTCCTCAGTCTCACCATTCCCACGAGAGGATCCAAGCTCGGAGTCACCCACCATGTCACCACAGCAGTGAAACCACCCCAGCATCTCCTCTGATGTCTTCAGGGCACTGCCTTCCACTCCATCAGCACAGAAAGCCAAACCCCAGGCAGCCAGGGATGAGTGGAGGGCACTCGGGTGAGGATGGGCAGAGAGAGCCCAGGGGGTGCCCACAAGCTGAGCCCCACACAAGGGGCTGTGACAGCCATCCCAAATTGTGCCAAACACCCCACAAAGCACCTGCAGCACCCCACAGTCAGGTTCACACACAAGGATCCTTCTAGCCCCTTCCCAATACGTTGAGTCAGATCCTTCCTTCCTTCCTTCCTTCCTTCCTTCTTTCCTTCCTTCCTTCCTTCCTTCCTTCCTTCCTTCCTTCCTTCCTTCCTTCCTTCCTTCCTTCCTTCCTTCCTTCCTTCCTTCCTTCCTTCCTTCCTTCCTTCCTTCCTTCCTTCTTCCTTCCTTCCTTCCTTCCTTCCTTCCTTCCTTCCTTCCTTCCTTCCTTCCTTCCTTCCTTCCTTCCTTCCTTCCTTCCTTCCTTCCTTCCTTCCTTCCTTCCTTCCTTCCTTCCTTCCTTCCTTCCTTCCTTCCTTCCTTCCTTCCTTCCTTCCTTCCTTCCTTCCTTCCTTCCTTCCCCCCCCCTGTCATCCCAAACCAAAGCTCAGCTTCTTCACTTATTATAGTTATATTTTTTTTCCCTGGGAAGTTGGGGAAAAAATAGAAAAGGAACTTCAACATCATGATGTTCCAAAAATGTAACAGTTTGACTCATAAGATCTCCGAAGCAGCTCATCTCCAGAGTGTTTCATTGGCCCCCTGGCAGAGGAGCACCATCTCAGCGTCTGGGTGCTGGAGGTGGAGGTGGATCAGCAGCAGCTCGCTGGAGGCAGGACTGAGAACAGCCCCCAGCATCCTGCACGAAGAATTCCAGCTACGCTTGGATTTACGGTTGTGCTCATCAATGTCCCTTAATTAACCGGCGTTGAAATGCAATTATTCAAGTGGGGAAGGTTGGGTTTGAGGAAAAACCCTGCTGGTTGGATGGGAGAGAGGAGAGGGAGCACTGGCAGCTTGTGGAAGTGCTCTCCAATTCAAGGGCTGTTTGCTTTTCTCCTTGGCTCAGCCTGTTGGGGTTTCCAGGTGTCTCCTTCCCAGGCAGACACTGAGGGAGGTCCATGGGAAGCAGGGATCCTGTGCTGTGGTGTGGTTGGCACAGCTGGCACCGGGATGCGTTGCCAGGGACAGGGTGTGCCGGGATCGTGCCGCAGTGGCACGGCCAGCTCTGAACAACAGCCCCGGGAGGAGCCCAACAGCCACGGTGACCAAAACACCGACGCACCGAGGCCACGGAAAGCGTCAAGGCAGAAGTTTTCACTAAAAATGGAAAGGCTTTTGAAAACACGTTGGGTTTGATGTGAGCAGCGAAGCGGGGCAGCAGCAGGAGGCAGCGGGAGCTCGGTTCCAGCTCCGTGCACTCCCAAGGACAGCAGGAACAGCGGGACACGGGGGGATGGCAGAGCCATCCACAAGGTGCCACCAGCTTGGCCTGGCTGTGATTGAGGTCCCACGTCCCTCTGCAGCCAGGCCAGGCACACCAAGGAGCGCCTGTGTGGCCACATTGGGGCCTTTCCCGGCACCCCAGCTCCTCTCCCACCCCAAAAGCCCGGCAGAGGAGTCAGCACCACGCCTGAAGGAGGACAAACGCACCTCTCCGGCTCCAGGCACTCCTGAAGGAGCTTTCCCGAGCACGGAGGAAGGATTTACATCCCGGCCCGAGGTCCCGGAGTGAGAGTGGCAGCCAAGCTGCTGCCATGTGGCCCCGGGACCTGCCGCTCACCACAGGCGGTTCCTGCCGTCATCTCCGCATCCTGAGCCATTTCTCCTACTATTCAGACTAAAATTGCTCTGTGTTTAAGCTTCAGAACCGTTTATCTCATTGAGTGAGGAGGATAATCCACCCACCTCTTCCTTGCTCCCTGGCAGGTATTTATAGGCAGCCACTCGTCTCCCGTCGGCAGCTGCCGCTCCTCTTCCCAAACCTCCCGGCTCCAGCCCCAGCAGCGTGGAGCAGGTCCCGAAGGACATTATCCCATAGCCCCAGCCCAGCATCCTGCCAGCACCGACGGTCCTGCCGGGGGATGCTCTGCCCTGCTCCGGATCCCGCCCTGGGCACATCGCTCTGCCGATAACTAATTGCAAACTCATTAGGAGCTCATTGAGAGGAGCAGAGGCCGCCCGGGAGAGTTGCCCCAGGCTCCCGCAGAGAAAGCTGCTGGAGCAGCGGCTGCTTGGAAATTAAGAGGGAAAAAGGGAAAAAAAATCCCTCTGGCCGCATCAGAGACTGGCAGAAAAACAACTCAGTTATTGAGGGAGGTTACAGGAAAAGGGTTTGGGCTGAGCCTGATGCACGGTTGAGCACTGAGGGCTGGGATTGTCACCGTGGGCTGCTCTGGGGTATTGGGAAATGAAGGGAAAATCTGTGCAGGGCAGGGGCTCTGCTAAGCCCGCGTTCCTCTTTAAAAAGGGGAGAAATGTGAACTGCAGCAGTGGGATGGGCACAGGCCCACACTGCTCTGTCCCTGCACTTGGCAGAGATTTGATTTCACCGTATTCCATCCCCAAAGCCTCACTTATGAGCAGGTAACACCAACTCCCATGCAAGGCCAACAGGCTGGAGGCCAGGGCATCCCTCAGGAGGGACCTGCCTCCCTCTGCACCCCAACCAGCTTCCAAACCTCTGTTTCCCCTAAACAATGCACTGAGCCAGCAAAGCCACCCCCTGTCCCAGCTCTGCACATGCCAGCACCACCCTGGTGTCGGGGCTTTGGCCGTGCCCCACGCTGAGCCGCTGCCTCCCAGCGCCCCACTCCATTTCCTGCCACCTCCATTCCTGTCTGACCCCGTTCCAGGGACATCCTCTCCTCTCCTCCGCGCCGCTGGGACCCGCACTCCAGATTTGAGCTGTGCTCCTGGGGGCTGTGGCACGCTGGAGCCCGGGGAGGGCTCTCAAAGGCACCTTGGCCTAACGAGGACAACGTGGCAGTGCGGGCAGGACAGGGATCTCACCGGGGCTCAGAGCCACCGGGACCCACCTTGGCCAGGCACCTCCAGCCAGGCCAGGCACCACCTCCCACCTCACCCAAAGCAGCAAAACGGGCACAGGGAAAGGGTTCCTGCATCCATGTGCCACCCCAGGGCCATCCAAAACCTCTCAGGACGAGCTGAGTGAGTCTGGGAGGTGGCTGGTCCCCGCAGCACGGGGACATTGGCTGCTGGCAGTGGTTTGGTGACAGTCCCTCTGCTAGTGTCCATGGGTGGGGCAGGTCTCCATGTGCAGCTGGCTCCAGAGCAGCGGGACAGCGCCGGGCAAGGCTGGAGCACCACGGACACCTCCAGAACCAGCACCAAACCTCCACCGAAGCACCCGCAGCAACTGGGGCTCCCCAGTGCCCCCAGTGCAGGGCTGAACTGGCACAGAACTCCAGGTTATCCAGCAATTCTCATACCAGCTGCTTGCCCGGACCAGAGCAGCCTGCCTGGCAGCAGGATCCTCCTCGGGAGCTGCTCTCCCAGTGCAGATGTTCCAGATGCAGGGCAGGGTCAGGCCCTGTCACACCCATCCATGGCTGCAGGAACCATCTCCCGTCCTGGCCAGCAGCCTGTGACAAGCTTCCTCAGCCTCTGGTCCCGGCATTCAGGTTTCACAGAGCGATTTGGGAAGAGCAAACAAAGCAGTGCCAGGACTCTCTCCTCCGCCGCCGCTCCTCCTTCCTGCCACCGTCCCCTGTGCCCTCCGCGCTGCTCTCCCGGAGCTGCCAGCAGGATTGTCCCTGCCCTCCTGCGCACGGGGCTGTGTCTGTCCATCGGCCCCGATGACAGGACCTTGGCTGTCTTTCAGAGCTTCTGGCCTCGCGGGGTTTTTGCTGCCGAGCAGGATGGCTTCCTTAGGACCTCAGCTCCTCCAGCCTGCAGCTCCTCCCGCCTTTGCCGCCAGCACCGCGGATTTAAGATTACTTCATTGTTTGATTGGTTTCATCAGCCTGTCATCATCTCCCTCCCAAAACTCTTCCGCCAGCGCCGACAGCACCGCACGGTTGGGATCTGCAAAGACAAACGCCCCGAGCGAGCGGCACCTGCCCGAGCCACGGCAGGGCCAGCCTGGCGACAGCAGGGACACACACGGCCTCTGCCACACCGCCCAGCCCCGGTTGTGTGCCCCGTGCGGGCCGGGCATCGCCCCAGCCCTGCCTGCCGCCGCCGGGGCCGCTCCGCTGGAGGAGGATGCTCGCAGCCCGGCCGGGGTCCCCTCCCGCAGCCCCGCGGGCAGGGCGCGGTGACACGGCGACATCGGGGGGCTTGGCACACGGACAGGCAGCTCTGCCCTCTCCCCGAGCCGGGCTGGGGCTCCCGGAGCTGTCCTGGGGCTCCCGGCTGGTGTCGCCCGCCCGCGGGCACGGCGGCAGCGAGGCCGGAGCCGGAGGAAAGTGGGTCACGCTCCCCTTCCCCGCTGCGGCCGGGGACACGCCGGGCTGGATGGAGGCCGGCCCGGGCCAGGGGACAGCAGGGGACAGCAGGGGACAGCAGGGGACAGACAGCAGCGGAGGTGAAAGGGGAGATAGGCGAGGTGATAAGGGGACACAAGGAGACAGGAGGGGACGTGGTGAAGCGACGCGAGGGGAGACAAGGAGAGATGACGAGAGGAGATGACACCGGGAGATGATGAGGGGACAAGGGAGGACACAATGAGGAGAGACAATGAGGGGAAGATGATGGACGGGGCATGAGGGGAGATGACAAGAGGACATGAGGGGACATGAGGGGAGGTAATAGGGAACACGGGAAGCTGGTAAGGGAAGACAAGGGGAGGTGAGGGAACATGAGGGGAAACAAGAGGAGATGAGGGGAGGTGATGAGGGGACACAAGGGGACACAATGAGGGGACACGAGGGGACACGGCCTGAGCTGCCCCCGAGGCCGCCTCTCCCTGCTCTCCCCTTCCCCTGTTCCCAGGTGCCTTCCTTCCAGCTCAGTGCACCCTTCCAGACACCCCCAAACCCGCCGGGAGCCCCCGGGGACCAGCCCCGCGGCCCCAGCCCCGCTCGGTGTCACTCACGCCCCTCCGTCCCCGTCCTTCCCCCTCGCCCCCCCGCCGTACCGGGGCGCAGGTGCCACCGGCCGCAGGAGGGACCCGGGGCGGGGGGGAAGGACCGATCCCGGGGGCAGCGCCCGCACGGCGCGGTGCCCACCCCGCTCCATTCATCCCGGAGCGCCGCTTGTACCGGGATGGGGGTTTTGTCCCCTCCCCGCGCCGTGCGGGCAAACAAAGGGCGGCTTCGGTACCCGGCGGGCAGCGCCCCCCGCACCCCCATCCCCGTATCCTCATCCCCGCACCCCCGTGCCCGCGCCCCATCCCCGCACCGCCGCCTTACCGGAGGGGCGAGCCGCCGCCGCGCCCCGTCCCCGGCGGGAGAGGAGCCGCCGCCGCCGCCGCCGCCGCCGCGCTCCGCCCGCCCCGCCGGGCTCCTCATGCCGCGGCCCCGCCGCCGCCGGAGGAGCGGAGCGGAGGGAGCGGAGGGAGCGGAGGGAGCGGAGGGAGCGGAGGGAGCGGAGGGAACGGAGCGCGGCGCCCCCCGCAACCCCCGGCAGCGCCCGCCCCGCGCCGCGCTCCGCCCGCACCGGCACCGGCGCCGCCCCGGGGAGGGAGCGCGGAGCGGGAGGAGCGGGAGGAGCGGGAGGAGCGGGAGGAGCGGGAGGAGCGGGGGGGCTCCGCCGCCGGCCCCGCGGGGATGGGGGGATGCGGAATGAGCGATGCGCGATGCGGGGCGCTGCTGTCCCCGCCCCCGCGATGGAGCCGGGGGGAGTCGGTGCGGGAGCAGCCCAGGAAAGGGGGGTCGGGGCTGAGCCGCCCCCTCCCCGCCGGCGGCGGAGCTCCGGTACCGCGGGCTCGGCCGCGCTGGGGACAATGGGGATGGGAGCGGCGCTCCGCAGGGAGCGGCTTCAGGCCCTGCCCCAGCCCAGGCCCATCGGGGGTCAGCAGCGCTGTGCAGCCCAAGCACAGGACCTGTGTCACAGCACAGTGTGTGTGTGACACAGCACAGTGTCCTGCTGCCCGCTGCTTCCCTGGGCCCTGCTGCCCTTCAGCCCTCCGAGACGCTGTCCCCTCTCCTTTGGCACCCCCGTGGTGTGGGTGATGCCCACCCTGCGTCAGGGAATGATTTGGGTTAGAAGGACATTCAGGATCAGCTCATCCCAACTCCTGCCATGGGACACCTTCCAGGCTGCTCCAAGCCCCATCCAACACGGCCTTGGGTAGTTCCAGGGATGGGGTGGCCACAGCTTCTCTGGGCAGCCTGAGGCGCCGTGGCACAGGTGATGCCCACCATGGCACAGACAGCCCCCAGAATGCTGCTCCTCAGTGTGTGCAGGACATGTGGCTTTCCCTGTGGCTCATGAATGGTGGAAACGTTCAGGCCAAGCCAGGGTGAGGAAAAGACATCATGGGGGTTTCCCTTCAGGTGCCTGAAATTTGGCAACTCTTTCAGCAAGTGATGCCAGAGGTGGGCACCAGGAGCTCCCAGGCACCTCCAGCCTGGGGGACAGTGACAGCTCTGCCGGAGGAAGGCGAGGGGTTGTCACTCGGCTCCCTCTTGGAGCATCCCTGCACACACCTCGTCTTCTCGGATTTCCTTCTGTGCCCACCAAGGCCAAGCCGGATTTTAACACTGGCCACGATTTGCTTTGGGACTTCCTTATCTCTCTCTCAGCTGGGTGCCAGCTCCCTTCGCTCCCGCGATGTCACTTTAAAGGGACCCACAGTGGTGAGGCTGCCCCAGCCTCCCGGGGGGACAACAGATTGTCCCCACACCTCCGCTGGGACCGGGGCCGTGGCACTGCCCCCTGAGCCCCCACAAAGCGGGGAGGGCCGGGGAGCCATCGGCACTGACTCACTGATGGCTCCGCTCCGCTCCAGCTGAGGATGCAGAGCAATTAAGGCTTTTCATGAATGACTTTAAGGCAAGAGGCTGAATCACACTCCGACACTCCGCTTTAATTTGTGCCAGCATCGGCTGTGCCACTGTCACCCTCTTCCCTCCCGGTAGGGCCGCGGGGGCAGCGGCTGCGGCTCCCGGGGCCGGTCCCCGCCGTCCCCCTCCGCTCGGGTCCCGCCACACTCGCGGCTCCTGCGGCTGGGACGCTCCGAGGGTGGGTGATTCCCGGTGGGGTGGAGGCATCGGAATGGAGCTGGGAGGAGAAATGCTGGAGGCACTGCCCCAGCCAGCCGGGCTGGGCTGGGTAGGGGCTGGCACGGGGCTGGCACGGGGCAGGTGAGCCTCTGAGCAGTGGAGGTGCGTGAAAAAGGAAAACTGGGCAGAGCTGGGCTGTGCTCGGTGTCCCCACAGCCCCCTGCCCCGCTCCGTGGGCCGCCAGGGGTGGGGTGGCTCCAGTTTCGGCCACTGTCCCCCGTGTCCCCTGCCTGTCCTTGCGGTGCCGTCCTGGCTCCCGCAGCCTCCCGCCCGCGGCTCCTCCGAGCTCTCTGTCAGCTCTCTCCCTATTTATAGCTCCGGGCTCTTTCTAGGTCAGGCGGGAGGTGCCGGTGCCCGGGGAGCCAGCCCGGGGACCATGGGGGGGCTGCAGGGACAGTGCCACACGCCCCACACGTGGGTCAGCTCCCAGTGTCACCATCCCGGTGCTGTGGCCCGGGTACACAGGGGCTTGAGCTGCCACTGGGACCAGCTGGGCCTGGCAGGGCTTCGTGGCATTCCGTGGGGCTACGTGGGGCTTGGCAGTGCTTTGTGGGGCTCTGTGGGACCCCGTGGGGCTCCGTGGGACTCATCGGGGCTCCATGGGGTTTAGTACGTCTTCATGGGACTTTGTAGGGCTCAGCAGGGCTCCTTGGGACTCCACGGGGCTCTTTGGGACTCCACGGGGCTCTGTGAAGCTCTGTGGGCTCCATGGGGTTCCGGGGGTTCCACGGGGCTCCGTGGGGTCCTACAGGTCCCTCTGGGGTGTCCCTCCCCTCGGTGGCACGCGGGTGGCACACACACTGAGCCATAGTAACACCAGTTGTACCAGGCAGCGCCCGCACGGAGTTCGTGGTCTTCAAAGCACTCCCGGAATATTAATGACTAATTAAGATTAACGAGATGAAAGGAGCCAGATCAAACATGCTTATCACCTCGTGCAATCCCAAACCGTGCAAAGAGCCCCCGCCTCCCCGAGGAACCACGAGTGGCCCTGGGATTTGTGCTCGGAAAGGGAATATCCGCCTCGTGCCGTGGGATGTGCTTGGACAGGGTGGGCAGCGGGAAATGACCTGGAAAGCCCAAAATATTCCCAGCGTGCCAAATCCCCTCGGAATTCAGTGAGAAGATCACTTGTCCCTTCGCAATGGCTTGGCCAGAGGGGAGGCAAGGGACTGAGTCCCCCCACGGCCGCGGGTCGGGGTCCCACGGCCACCCGCGCCCGTGGCGCTCCGTGACAGGAGCCAAACCTGCCCGGGATGCTGCGGAGGGAAGGAGGGAGGGAGGGAAGGAGGGAGGGAGGGAGGGAAGGAGGGAGGGAAGGAGGGAGGGAGGGAGGGAAGGAGGGAGTGGAACACGCCGGGAGCCGCAGCCCGGCCGGAGGGGACCCGCTCACCCCGCGGGACCAGCACCCCCGGCCCAGCCAGAGGGCATCACCCGTGTCGGGGCGCCGGGTGTCCCCTGGGTCCCTGGGGACAGAGCCCACCCATGGAAATCCCGGGGAAAAGGGGCGGTGGAGCCGGTTCCCGCAGCGCCCAGGGGATTCCCGGGGGCTGCTCGCAAGGTCAGGGAGGGGCCGTGGGACAGCCCCGCCGGTGATGGGCACACGCGGAGCCCGTGCCAGGGGGTCCATCCCCCGGGGTGCTGCCCCGGCCCGCAGCCTGTGCCGCGAGGGACCGGGCGGGGCGGGACGGAGCCCCCGGGCCGGACCGGGCCGGTACCGGCCGTACCCGGGACGTGGGAATGGTGCTGACCCTGGAGCAGCACAGTGACGGCCGGGACGGAACGGGACCGGAGGGGCTCTTTGGGACGGGCTCCTTGGGAAAAGAAACACAACGCGTTTCTTGGAGGGGAAGGAGGGGCTGAATTTGGGACACGGGGAGAGCCACGGGGCCCGCCCTGGCACCCCGGGGGTACCCCGGTACCCCAACAGCACCCGGCAAGGGTGCCCGCCCGCCGCCTCCGCTCGCTGCCCGTTCTCCTGGCACCATCTAGAGGCTGCGGGAACGGGCACGGGGGACGGACACACCGGGGGACGGGGACAGGGAACAGACACGGACGGACTGGCGTAGGGGAAAAGACAGAAGGACAGACACGAGGGGACAGACAGAGCAGACAGACACATGACGTGGAAACACGTGGGGACAGACACACTGCCACAGCACCCACTCCTGAGGCCCACGCACCGCTCCTGGCACAGGGGGCAGGACCAGGGCTGGGGTGGTGACAGGGCAGGCAGCACCTCCTGTCACCCCGGGGAGCCTCCCCCGGTGGGGCTGTGCTGGAGGTGACCGGTGATGGCAGCTGTGTCCCCATGGGATGGAGACAGACTCAGGGACAAGCTGGACACACACACCCCCCACACTCCGGTGCAGCCCACCCTGAAGCAGGGCAGGACAGGGAGAAGCCTTTGGGCACAAGCCGTGGGTGTCCGTCCCTTGCCGTGTCCCGTGTCCCGAGCAGGGAGGGGTGGTCCCTGCAGCCACCACGCAGGACCCTGGGCCACCACAGTGCCACCCCGGGTGCTCCCTCCCTGGCTGAGGATGCCAGGCTCATGCCACCTGTGGTGCCACTGGGCAGCTCCGAGCCCGGCTGGGCTGTGGGACAGGAGCCCTGGGAATTCTGTGCCCACCCCTGGCCAGCAGCACCCACACTCAGGCCCTCCCGATCCCTGGCATCCCTGTTTCCCCACCTGGGCACTGACGATCCAAAAATTCATTATCTACACCAAAACAAACCCTACAGCTTCCTGCAACCCGTGAGGAAGCCAGACCGCCTGGATTGAGATCCAGTGATGGCCCTGAGGCCCCCCAGAC